CTTCATAGTGTACTCAATAAATGTGATTATTTGTAGCTCTAAGTGTTGAATGAATCGCCGTAGATTAGTTCTCAATATAATACAGAATTAAGGTACCGGTAAGATCTGGCCATTCCTGATGAATCGTTTTATAAAATCCCCCAATTATAAACTATTTGTAAAAATCTGTCATCATGGATTAACCCACCCCCAATTTGCTAAACCCCTTAAATTAAACTTGCAAAACCTGAAAAATTTACACTATCCAGAAAATGCGCAAATTCTTTAAAGTCTTTGATCTGAAATGACTAATGAAAGCAAATCTAGTCATGGGGACAGTTAAAAATTGAAACATATTAAACTGTATCTTAACAGTTTTATGTCTAAAGAGTAAGAATGTTTCACAAATTATGATTTAACCGGTTCATTCTTCGAAAACACCTCCGCAATGCGCGATCGTACGTTTCTCGGAAGGTGGTGATAAATTATCGTTACTTTCAGTTGTTACCTCGTTTGATTAAAGAAGTCGTTGCATCTTAATTTGATGACTGTTTCAAACGCATCATATTATACAATATACATAGTCATACATGTTTATATATTTGAGAATTGATGTCATTGCACTGGAAAGTAATGATTAGTAGCTTCTGGAGACCACCATTCTTACTCAGATATTTAAAAGTTGGATGAGTTAGATTTGCTCGAACAGCATGATTTAGTGAAAAAAGAAACTGAAATAGTTAAAATTCTTGTACTTACCATCCTTTTCGGTATAAGTTGCTTCTGTCTCAATTTTCAAGTTCAATTTCGAGAACCTGAAATGAAGAAAAGTTGCATCATTACAAAGTTTGATAGAAACAAATATATTGACCTTTAGTTTAATGCGATTTGTTTGGTGTGATTCAATGAATGTCTAGTCTTACAATAACTTACATGCTTTTAGTGGTGAATAATTTATTAAGTTCACAGTCATCGTCTCCACAAGACACCAGTCCAATAAGCAGTAGCTCCCCAACAATAGTGCAAATCAGAAACTCACGCCACATGTTCAGTCAAAGTTGTCAAACTATGTAAAAAGTTAATGCATTAATACCGGGTAAATTCATCAATCCTCACCGGTTTAAAGAATTCAAGATGATATGCAGGGTTTTATGCAAAAATAATTTTGGGATTTTAAATGGCCATCATTTCTGAGACTCAGCCAAATGAAATAAATCAATCCATTTTCGCATGATTACCTAGGTTATGAACAATAGTTGACAAGATATAAAGACTGCGTCAGAAAATGTTGTCCACGCTGAAAGTGCATTTTCAAATGAGTTAACCTTGCGAATTATCTGATAGCGGACACATATTCACATGATTCACAGCGATATGAGAATGTTGCAGTGAACACTGTTATTTTTTATGTCATCCTAAGTTTTGAAAATTTGTCTCCTTAATCATGAAAGTATCTTGAAATGAGTAATGACACAGCTTGTCTCTAAGACCCTGTCTCTAAGTCTAACATCACGTCTTATTAGGTGCCTCGAGCCACAGTAAATTTATATAGTTACTTGAGGAACCATGAAATTTCCGGATGTAGAATGTAAGAATGCACTGGTGAGGGTAGAAAAACTTATACTTTAGGTAAATTTCTGGTTAAAATTTGTACCCTATTCACTATTGTCAAAATGCATGCCAAGCTTTAAATATTAGCTAGATATTTCGCAAGTTTTCTGATGTCTCACCAGATAGTTTTTAATTAAGCTTAGTAGATCTAGACTACGAGCGTCATGTCAACTGAAAATGATATTGTCTTTTTGTTTCTTCAAAACATGTGTTATCGGTAAAATGTATATTGCTGCGCTCGTCGCAAGTTATAATTATATCTGGTCCAGCATGCACCTTGGTTTCTATATGGTGAACCGTCTCGGGACTCTTATATTTGGAACCGGGAGTAATGTAGTGATCTAATCCTCTCTAAGTCTATACAGCCTCTAAATACCGATCCTATTATAAAAGCTCCATTTTAAAGAAATCATCACGGAAACATTAATTGTGCTAGTTTGGCAGTTACCCAGCACAATATACGGTAGATTGCTCTCGGCTCCGAATCTCAGGTACCACAAACTAGGAATCGTCCATGTTTCAAGTTTTGAACCAGCAAACTAACTTAATGGAGCTGGGCGCGTTGCGTTATTATAGTCTGGTAACGTTACAACCTGCTCCCCAAACCTCCCACTTAGCTCGATATCCTGTACAAATAAGTCGACGTCGATTGGCTGAAATGATACAGGTTACCTGGTCCATCTCAGAGAGAGAGGGAGAGAGTAAGAGAGGGAGGGAGAGAGAGAGAGAGAGAGAGAGAGAGAGAGAGAGAGAGAAAGAGAGAGAGAGAGAGAGAGAGAGAGTGAGAGAGAGAGAGAGAGAGAGAGAGAGAGAGAGAGAGAGAGAGAGAGAGAGAGAGAGAGAGAGAGAGAGAGAGAGAGAGAGAGCGTGAGTCACTGTACCGTCGCGTGCCTCATTATTTGTGATAGCAGTTGCGCGTTTTGGGGTTTAATAAAAAACACCGCGTTGTTATGCGTCTCATATCAATCAAGGGGACATGCTTTTCAACCAAAAGGTTTCATTATTATGCCTGTATGAGTGCTTATGGTACCGAGTAGTTCTGCTGACGATATCTCATTTGCTTATATGCGGCCGTATTTATGGGGATGGTTCATTCCGTCCTATGAAAGGCGTCCAATCTTTATGATTAGTCGGGAGAAACAGCGTTCTTTCAAAGTGAATTTAATCAGCGACTATAAAGTTTCTCTGATTTGCAGAAATATGCTTGTTTTTTCTTCTGACAAGAGCAACATTTTTTGTACCGTCATGACGATGGTACACACTACCATGCAATGTATGGTTCTCTTATTTTTCAACAGATTGTTAAAAATTTGTGATCTATTATGAATTGTGCATAAATCAAAAATCCTCCATCTCGTTTGATTGCTGATAGGCACTCTTTAAATGTCAAATTATCCAATTCGCATTGCATCAGTGATTATTCTCTCAAAAACCATTTTCATCTACAGACATTTGAGAAAAATAGTGCGAAAAATTTATGAAATTTTTTGCCGAAAAACTGTGTGAATTCTATTGAATCACCACTCATTTAATTGACGTTGCTCATGCGTTGAAACTTGACAGAAGCTTACCAAAACATGAAACTGTAGGCTGTGTCTGTATTACGTTGAATTTGATGATTTGTGATCTAAGGAAACCATCCATTAATATGTATAAGAACTAAAACATTTCCATTTGAATAAACGTCACGTAGCTCAGTACACCTTTGAGTCGGCATTCCGCTACGAATTTAATAATTTAGAATATAACGTACGTGTTCAAGTTAGCATATAATGTCAACAACGACCTCATTCAACAACAGGAGACATTCAAAATATCAATCAACTGCGCTCCAAGATTGTCACTTGTACACGCGTTTCATATTATCATTAATGTTCGTTCATGATCATTGAGCGTCCAAAAACTACTTTATGGTTTTATTCAAAATGGTTTTACAATTATTGTCTTTTATATTTCCACCAAACTTACAAATCATGGTCAGCATGATCTAGATTGTTTCCTTTGATTTACGTCATATTTACGTCACATTATTTTGATTTGAGTTACGTTGTTGTTGTTGTGTGTAACTTTGATTGAATTGATGTTTATTTTGTTTCTAAAGCATTTCAAAAATACAGGTTTAACATAACGAGCATATCCTGTCCAAACCCAGGATGCACTACATGAAGAATTCATTGTAACATTGTTTGAAAAGCATTAATATAAATGAAAGAATAAAAATTCCGAATTATGCGCACTTCTTAGTTTTTAATTTCCACTTCCAGATCAATTCCTTAATGCTGTATTATGTCAGCCCAAAAAGGACAGGAAACTTAAAGTTTGATAAACCAATGACAATTTAACATATTTAATTGCAGAAATGTTAATTGTCCTTGAACAACAGCGAAATCTTTAAATTAAGCCAGCAGCAGAAGTAGACAAAGCAAACAACACTACACTATAACGAACTGTACTTCATAACATAGAGTACACACTTCATGTAGGCGGCAAAGGAGACTTGTCTGGATATTACACAGTTTTTGAGTTCTCACACTTTGCTAGCACATACCCATCTTAACAAAAATACTGGCACTATGATTTGAAGTCTTAATCAGACCATATCCAAGTAATATAAGATTCGCTGATATCGGTGATTGGTACATGATACTGATTCGCCAATATGTAAGTACCCTCTTAGTCTTAATTCTTTGTGAATTGGAATGTGCGCTTATGCTATCGATGGTAAGGCTATCAACAATATTAGCACTAGCAGTAATCGGGTAAATTTAGAATTTAGCATATTCTTGAGACATTTTTTAAATTAATGAGATAACGGCGCTGTCAAATTTTCAAACAAATATCATCTTACTATATATAAAGCGAGACGATATATATATATCCGTACCATTTTACTGACACCACGACATCAACTTTAACACGACTTTCCGCAAAAACCGTAAAAGATATACAACTTAAACTTTTTTGACTGGTTCAAATGCTCTAATGGTCTTCAAATCAGCATGAAAAAATAAAAAATTTACCAAGGAATAATAATTTTAGTGCCCAAAATGTGGACCCCCAAGTGGTGTCAAAAACGAGAATTAAATAGGTAATAATTATTTTAGTCTCTTGAGTCTTGACACCACTTAAGACGGGTTCCTGCTAGTTATAAATAATGTTGTTGCGACCTCATCTATTTCGCAGCACAATTATATTATGCGTGTCTGATCTGGCAGTTTCTGGCAAGATGAAGCTCACTGCTCAAAAGCATGCCGATTGAACTGTGTCAGTGTGTCGTGGATTGCTTTGTTAAATATTCTGTTTATCGTGTAATTTCGTCTTTTCTTATGGAGTCCAAATTGAGGCACAATTTCCTGGCACATCAAAAATGAACAAAGATATGGACCGGGGGCTGGAAACATATAAGTGATATGGACACTGCCGGGGGCTGGAAACATATAAGTGATAAGGACACTGCCGGGGGCTGGAAACATATAAGTGATATGGACACTGCCGGGGGCTGGAAACATATAAGTGATATGGACACTGCCGGGGGCTGGAAACATATAAGTGATAAGGACACTGCCGGGGGCTGGAAACATATAAGTGATATGGACACTGCCGGGGGCTGGAAACATATAAGTGATATGGACACTGCCGGGGGCTGGAAACATATAAGTGATATGGACACTGCCGGGGGCTGGAAACATATAAGTGATATGGACACTGCCGGGGGCTGGAAACATATAAGTGATATGGACACTGCCGGGGGCTGGAAACATATAAGTGATATGGACACTGCCGGGGGCTGGAAACATATAAGTGATATGGACACTGCCGGGGGCTGGAAACATATAAGTGATATGGACATTTTACTACTCACATAATCATTTTACTACTTTCATTACGCATCAATATTTTTCCTCTGTAATCTACCTTTTCTTATCGCACTGAGCTTGTGATTTATACTGATCATGCGACGAAATTCTACACCTAATACCTCTACACCTACATCATCCCAGAGGAAGAAACTAGCTTCTAAAGCTGCTTCTGAGTCAATCGCTGACTCAGAAGCACCTTCTACCGGTATGTTGGGGCTTGGGGTGTCAGGGAATTACACGTTTGCAGCAACAACATGCCTTCACTTGTTAAGCTTACTGCCTGCTCCCGATTTAGATTTTGAGTTCGAAAGACTCCGCCTCCTTTCGAAAAGTGCTACTAAAGCAAGCACAACGGACAACAAAATTTCTTTTTTAAGGAAACATTTATTAGGCCAATGTGCCCTAGACGCTGACGAGACAATGAACAAATTAACTGCGAGTCTAAAACTCATTTCATGTACCGTTAATGAAGAGGTTGAGAAGGCGGTCAACAGCATCACGGAACGAGCCTGCACTGCGATCCAGGAAGTCTCTGAAGAGTCCAGGAAGCAGACCTCTCTCATCGTTGAAGCAGCTAGCAGTAGTTCTCCACAGACTCTCTCCCCTTCCGGTGAAGTAGAAAGCATACCTAACCCACCACCTCCGGTAAGATTTTTGGACTGTGACTTTGGTGATCTTTCTTTTGATGAAATCTACCGCGAGCTTGACTTTAACATGAAACACCCGGGGGGGCGTTCAACGTCATATTTTGGCTCGGTACCTTACAGTTATGGCAGAACCAACCACCGTGCAACCCATGATAAGCCCTTGCCACCTGTCCTAAAGCGCATTTTTGATTGTTTGCATGAATCCGATCCTGACTTTACTCCCACGAACTATACCTGCCTCTGTACTTACTATAAGGACGGGTCAGTTGGTATTCCATTGCATAGTGACAGCGAATCCAGCATTGTTGAAGATAGTCTGATTTACACTGCATCATTTGGCTCTACCAGAATTATGAGAATGTCAACGTCGACAGGCCCTTTCGTTGAGCATAACATCCCGCTTGAGCACGGCTCTGTCTTTGCAATGTCTCGATCTGATCAGAACCACTGGCAGCACGGCATTGAACGTGATCCTATGTTAAGGCAGCCACGAATCTCGCTCACTCTTCGCAAGTTGAAACAGCCTGATCCCACGGCCTTACCAGCACCTGCAGCCCCTACTCGGGTCCCGCCTGTTGCACCACCTACACAGATACAGTCACCAGCGTCCCGTCACTCCAGAGTCCTCTTAATTCACGACTCAATACACCGAGAAACGCCAGAATGGCTGTTCGACCAGATACCTGGCCACCGATGTCAAAAGCGCCTTAACTATCAACTAGTGAACTCACTGGAACATCAACATGAGTTCAAACATTCTAAAGCAGTCGTACTTTCCTGCGGCATTAATGACCTAGCTAGGTATGGGCAGTCGGCCAGGAGTCTTGCGGACAATTTCTGTCCCCGTTTTATAGACTCTTGTAACAATAACAAGAATACCGAGTTTATGTTTTGTGCTTTATCTATGACTAAATTTAACTGGTTGAATGCAGAGATTGACGCTTTTAATATCATAATGTTGAACCTGGCTAAGGATATTCCAAATCTGAGTTTTTTCGATGCCCATGCCGTGATCAAGCGTGCTAACTCATACTACGTATGGGACCGCAACGACAGACATGGCATCCACTTATATCACGAGGTGCAAAGGGTAGTGGCACATGAACTTGTTAACTGCGTTGGCAAGTTATGTGGATCTGAACAGAGACGTCACAGGAACTGTGAGTGGCTCTATCACCACAAGCCTAACAGTCTCTCCAGATATAACCGAAGCTGAGCGCTTTACAAATCATTGATACCATTCTGATTAAAAAATGCGATTCACTTTTTTCTCAACTTCCAGTCCACCTTTAACAGATCGTTACCAAGATAGATCATATTATAATGAAATGATCTGATTGGTGGAATTTTTCTCATTATCTGATAAGCTCATTCATTATCAGTATCTCTTATCACCCGATCGCACACAAAACATCTTACTCTACAAATCTGTATCATCCTAAATCAATGAGATTTCATAACTCTATACAACATTCAAAATTCACATACAAATCTATAAATAATCAAGTGCGTTCTCTTCAGTATTACTCAAGTTCAGTGCGATAGTCCCTTATTACGTAAACGCTACAAACAAATCAAATACAAATAACACCTCACAAAACTACACAACACAAAAGCAACCACTTTATTCGATTTCTATTTTTTAGCCAAATCAGTTATTTAAATCATACTGATAAGGCCCTAGATAAGGACACTTTATTTCACTTAATTATCCGATTTTAGCTTAAAATAATATAATTTACTTTTAAATCATATCACGATTCTGGAGCATACAGGACCTCCGGTTCTCGTGAAAGAATCTGATTTGAACTATAGTTTTATATACTATCAGTATCATAATCATAATATTTAGTTATAAATGGAACCCACTGTTACATCTGAAAATAAAGTCAAGATCAAATGTTCAAGCTGCAGCGGCTGGTGTTACTCTATTAGAAATATTCGCACATGCTCATGGTGTCAAAGTAATGTCCATGTCAAATGTTTTAAGGATAATTTAGGCTGTACGAGTTGCTGTGAAAGTATCATTCCTGGATTTCACGCAACCTACTATGAAATCTATGACGACTACAGTAAACTTAATAGTGACATATTTAATCCGTACGATCAGAATAGTCGATTTAATCTTATTGGCGACGCCATGACCAACGAAGAGCATCAAGATTCAACTTGGAGCAATATTTCATCTTTCCTAACTAGTTGTCAGTATAAACAACAACGTAACGTGAAAAAATCTACCTGCTCTCAACTTAAAACATTTTCTATGAACATAAGATCCCTTATTAAGAATATAGATCAACTACGTGATGATATTGAGACTTATGATAAGTATGATATATTGTGTTTTAACGAAACTAATTGCACTTTAGGGAAATTACCGAACGGAATAAACGACGTTACCTTAGATGGATTTCATGAACCATTTATCCAGGATCCAATTCGCCCATCTGGAAAAGGTGGGGGGCTAGCCACTTATGTACACAAACGTGTAGTCGATTATGATAAAATTGATATTTTCACTCCAAACCCTGAACCAACTAATACTAGTGGCGAATTTCAATTTATCAAGCTCCATCAGTGCAAAGGATACAACAGAACGAAAATAATTGGCAATGTTTACCGTTCTCCCGCTAGGAGACCTGAAGCGTTTCTAGAAATTTTCAAAAATACGCTGCACAACCTAGGGAGACACACCCGTAAACATATGACGCTTCATGGAGATTTCAACCTTGATTTACTGAAGCACAGCAGCGACCAAGCATGTCAGAACATTATAGATATTGCGTCCTCTTACGGTTTTATTCAAATTGTATCACGCCCAACTCGCCTAACGGACCATAGTGCCACGCTTATTGACCACATCTACACAAACAATCTTGAGGATACAATAAGCTGTAACGTCTTAACGACAGATATGTCTGATCACTTAGCAATAGTCACTACAATAAATCTTGATAACACGCCAACCAGCAGCTACCGCTCTGCGTCTAACTCACAAAATGTATCTCAAACTGAAACACGTAGATTTAACGACACCAACAATCAAAAATTCAGAGACTTAATTACAGATGAAAGTTGGTCAGAAATTTTTAACAATACCAATGATGCCAACGAACAGTTCAATAATTTAAATACGGCTTATAATAAGATTTACGAGTCCGCCTATCCCACAAAAAGACAATCACGAAGACAAAATGAACGTGTTAATCCGAAACCATGGATGCTGCCCTGGCTCGAAGAAGCTATAGAACGTAAAAATGAGTCATATTATGATTTTGTTAAGGAACCATCTGATAGTAACCGCAGTAAATATGACCGTCTGAAGAAGTTTTGTAATAAACACATCGATAAAGCTAAAAACAAGCACTTCAAAAAATTTTTTGAGCAAAACAAAGAAAATTCTAAGAAGCAGTGGCAAATGATAAACAGTCTTCTTAATAGGAAAAAATCTAAACCTACTTCAATTAAACTGACTGACGAAGACGGCTCAATCAGCACTCCGGCAGCTGTAGCAGAAAAATTTAACGATTACTTCTCAAACATCGCTCCTAAAATTAAGTCTGAAATTAGTAGTAGGACCACTTTTGATCCTGGTGGAACCCATAGCACACTTCGCAACGCCACTCCAAGTAGTATTTACTTAAAGCCAGTCACTGCCACAGAAATTCAGGACGTCATAAACCTGCTTAAGAATAAAGCCACACTAGACACTAAAATTGAACCTCTAAAAATCGCTAACAGCTGTCCCAGTTTTACTAGTGTACTAGCCCACGTTGTCAACAGTTCTTTTGAACAGGGGATCTTTCCACAGGCTTTGAAAGAAGCGAAGGTGGTCCCAATTCACAAAGGTGGATCTAAATCTGACATAAAAAATTACAGACCAATATCTCTTCTTGCTTCTTTCTCTAAAGTATTTGAAAAGCTAATGCATAACCGAGTTATAAGTTTTTTAGATAAATACAGCATACTATGTGAAAACCAATACGGTTTTCGCCCGGGTAGGTCTTGTGAACATGCTCTTCTCAACGCAAAAGACACCATTCTTAATTCAATGTCTAAAAAGCAGGTAACTTTACTTCTTTTAATCGATTTCAGCAAAGCTTTCGACCTTGTGGATCATTCCATACTCTTGCGCAAGCTGGACCATTACGGCATAAGGGGTCAAGCCTTAAACTGGTTTAAGTCATATCTCACTAACAGGAAACAGTTTGTATCAATTGGCTCGTCAAAATCTTCAACCAACCAAATTTTATACGGCGTGCCTCAAGGGTCAATATTAGGACCTTTACTTTTTATAATCTACATAAACGACCTGCCTCAAATATCAGATATAGCCAATTTCATTATGTACGCAGATGATGCCAACATCTTCCTGATAGGAGAAAATCTTAATGAAGTTTACGATAAACTAATAACTCTTAGCGATGCTTTAGTTAAATGGGTAGATAATAATGGTTTAGCTCTCAACCTTAAGAAAACAAATTATATGATCTTCTCTCGACAAAGAAATCTTAATTATCGTGATGTGGCAATTTCTGGTGTCACAATTGAGAGAAAAACAGAAGCCCGTTTTTAGGAGTTATAATAGATGATAAACTAAACTGGTCCCATCATATTTCTGCCATGAAAATGAAAATGTCCAGATACATAGGAGTCATGTACAAACTTAAAAAATATCTGCCTCTCGAAGCACGTCTTCAAATTTATCAAAGTTTTGTGCAGTCACACCTTAATTATTGCAGCCTTGTATGGGGTTTTGCTGCCAAGTCTCATATTGAATCGCTTTTTGTAAAACAGAAAATGGGCCTTCGAGCAGTATTACCTGGTTTCGTCAATTACTGGTACAAGGACGGTATCCCCCCAGCAAGTACCAAGTCTGGCTTTTATTCACATAAAATATTGACAGTACACAGTATCATTGTAAAGAACGCACTCATTTTAATGCATAAATTGAAAAACTTTCCTCATCTAGTACCATTGTCTCTCAAGAAAACAATTCCCAAAAGCGCACCATTATTTAATACTAACCTGGATTCTATTCTCACTACACAATAGTCAGAAAAGTATGGTCAACACCCTTACAACAACTCAGTATTTTTTAAAGGTCCATTATTAGCAATAAACCGATATAATGTTGCAGCAACTTCCCCGCCTAGTCTATTTAACCTGAACATTTACAAAACTTGTATAAAAACTATGCTCATCGATCAGCAAAATGAAAACATCGAAGACGATTGGCCTAATTTCATGTTATATTGTATAACAGGACTAAGAAAATCAAAGCGTAACATAAACCAAAATGCCGATAATAACCTTGTCTCTACATCTTAGATTATATGCACACACTTATGCATCACTCAATAAACGTCGCATATCTCATCAATTACACTGCCAACATAGGACATTCTTTTTTATCGCCGCGATTTCAAATCAAGTTAAAAATTCTACAAATTTGAAGTGCTCAGTCTTGTTTTACTTTTCTTATCTTTACCTATTAACCATTGGAAAATAAAACTTTAAGCTATAAACCTTCATTGCATACTTTACCGGTAGAGTCTAAATTGAATAGTTTGAGATTTCCTTTACATTTTATATTTATGCATGTGCCCCACGGGGATGAATTTCTTATTACCATTGATATTATATATACTTTTTTGAGTAAACATTGGCTGGTACCACGGGCCAGTCCCCAACAAAGACACTGCCGGGGGCTGGAAACATATAAGTGATATGGACACTGCCGGGGGCTGGAAACATATAAGTGATATGGACACTGCCGGGGGCTGGAAACATATAAGTGATATGGACACTGCCGGGGGCTGGAAACATATAAGTGATATGGACACTGCCGGGGGCTGGAAACATATAAGTGATATGGACACTGCCGGGGGCTGGAAACATATAAGTGATAAGGACACTGCCGGGGGCTGGAAACATATAAGTGATATGGACACTGCCGGGGGCTGGAAACATATAAGTGATATGGACACTGCCGGGGGCTGGAAACATATAAGTGATAAGGACACTGCCGGGGGCTGGAAACATATAAGTGATAAGGACACTGCCGGGGGCTGGAAACATATAAGTGATATGGACACTGCCGGGGGCTGGAAACATATAAGTGATATGGACACTGCCGGGGGCTGGAAACATATAAGTGATATGGACACTGCCGGGGGCTGGAAACATATAAGTGATAAGGACACTGCCGGGGGCTGGAAACATATAAGTGATATGGACACTGCCGGGGGCTGGAAACATATAAGTGATATGGACACTGCCGGGGGCTGGAAACATATAAGTGATATGGACACTGCCGGGGGCTGGAAACATATAAGTGATATGGACACTGCCGGGGGCTGGAAACATATAAGTGATTCGAAAGTCTTATTAGAAGGAGCTTTAAAAATCTTAAAACTTGTGTTAATCGTCTTTAACTGATGGGGTATTGGGTAAATCAGTAAACCGGAGCTTGTCTGTTCGTGCACCCAGTTTCACACGCTTCAACTCTGATATTATTGATACTGATATTATTGATACTGATATTATTAATACTGATATTATTGATACTGATATTATTGCTACTGATATTATTGATACTGATATTATCGCTACTGATATTATTGATACTGATATTATTGCTACTGATATTATTGCTACTGATATTATTGATACTGATATTATTGATACTGATATTATTGCTACTGATATTATTGATACTGATATTATTGCTACTGATATTATTGCTACTGATATTATTGATACTGATATTATTGCTACTGATATTATTGATACTGATATTATTGCTACTGATATTATTGATACTGATATTATCGCTACTGATATTATTAATACTAATATTATTGCTACTGATATTATTGATACTGATATTATCGCTACTGATATTATTGCTACTGATATTATTGATACTGATATTATTGATACTGATATTATCGCTACTGATATTATTGCTACTGATATTATTGATGCTGATATTATCGCTACTGATATTATTGCTACTGATATTATTGATACTGATATTATCGCTACTGATATTATTGATACTGATATTATCGCTACTGATATTATTGATACTGATATTATCGCTACTGATATTATCGCTACTGATATTATTGCAACTGATATTATCGCTACTGATATTCTTGCTACTGATATTATTGCTACTGATATTAGTGATACTGATAATATTGCTTCTGATATTATTGCTACTGATATTATCGCTACTGATATTATTGCTACTGATATTATTGCTACTGATATTATCGCTACTGATATTTTTGCTACTGATATTATTGATGCTGATATTATCGCTACTGATATTATTGCTACTGATATTATTGATACTGATATTATCGCTACTGATATTATTGATACTGATATTATCGCTACTGATATTATTGCTACTGATATTATTGCTACTGATATTATTGCTACTGATATTATTGATATTGATATTATTGCTACTGATATTATTGATACTGATATTATCGCTACTGATATTATTGCTACTGATATTATCGCTACTGATATTATTGATACTGATATTATCGCTACTGATATTATTGCTACTGATATTATTGATACTGATATTATCGCTACTGATATTATTGATACTGATATTATCGCTACTGATATTATTGCTACTGATATTATTGATACTGATATTATTGCTACTGATATTATTGCTACTGATATTATTGCTACTGATATTTTTGATACTGATATTATTGCTACTGATATTTTTGATACTGATATTATCGCTACTGATATTATTGCTACTGATATTATTGATACTGATATTATCGCTACTGATATTATTGATACTGATATTATCGCTACTGATATTATCGATACTGATATTATTGCTACTGATATTATTGATACTGATATTATTGCTACTGATATAATTGCTACTGATATTATTGATACTGATATTATCGCTACTGATATTATTGATACTGATATTATTGATACTGATATTATTGCTACTGATATTATTGCTACTGATATTATCGCTACTGATATTTTTGCTACTGATATTATCGCTACTGATATTATTGATACTGATATTATTGATACTGATATTATCGCTACTGATATTATTGATACTGATATTATTGCTACTGATATTATTGATACTGATATTATTGCTACTGATATTATTGCTACTGATATTATTGCTACTGATATTATCGCTACTGATATTATTGCTACTGATTTTATTTATACTGATATTATTGCTACTGATCTAGGTAAACTATAGGTAAAAATATAATATTAATCATAAGCTAAAATGTACTAATCTTTGTATTCTAAATGGGGAAAAAGAAGAAACATTGTCAGTCAGTCGAGAAAATTGTCAGTCAGGCTATATGGCAGCTTTGTAGATATTATTGCTACTGTACCACTTCACAATAACATCCTAACTATCCACCTACTCCAGGAGCCCACATGAACAATTGATGAATAGCAACTTGCAAATATGGTGGTCCCTCGACAACCTGTTTCACTTCTGTCTCTGCCTGTTGGGATTTTCAGTTGTGCCCAACTACTTCACCTGGCTACTCAGTCGGAATGTCTCCAAACTCAACAGACCAAGTCACGTGTACTTATATTTTGTGGGAACATTCGATTTGTTTTCTAGTTTTTGTGTCAAAGAATTTCCTATTAGGGTTGTCAGATGACATAACTACGAAAACTCACGTCACAGCGAAACTTGACTTGATTGTTTAACTTAAGATTATAATAAACCACGTAACTCCACTTAAAGGTGGTCACGTGATTTGTGATCTTACAATCCTTAAACTTGACATTTACAGGTAATTTGTTTATTTGGACGGTTAAAAGAGGATGTGTTGCTGTGGTTACTGTGTGTCTTCCTGCCACTTTATTGGAACTTTCTTCTGAAAGAAAAGCTGGTATGTAGTGTTCCATATTAGATAAAAACATAATCTCATTGATGATATTCGCTGAACAATCCTATCTCAACTTATCTCAACCAAATGGTAAAACGTTTTACTTTTTCAGGCGATGTTTTGACGTTTAGAGATGACAGCACAGTTAACCGGTATCTGATTTTCCAGGTCCTCGGTGCTCTCAAGTACATAGTAAGTAGGATAAATATAAACTATTAGGTGCTCTCAAGTACATAGTAAGTAGGATAAATATAAATTATTAGGTGCTCAGATTCACTGGAAATAATTCTAAATTGTTTATAAATATAAATTTGTAAGGTAAAAATGATAATTGTTTGTTTGTTCAACGAGATTTTTATTATATCAAAACGTATAAATTGACTTGAGTAACGTAACCTTGTTAAATCCAGTGACTGAATAAAACTCAAAAATAGTCCGAAAACCTCCATTTTCTAGATATTGGGTGTGCTAATACCACCATTTCTCAGATATTGGGTGTGCTAACACCACCATTTCTCAGATATTGGGTGTGCTAACACCACCATTTTCTAGATATTGGGTGTGCTAACACCACCATTTTCTAGATATTGGGTGTGCTAACACCACCATTTTCTAGATATTGGGTGTGCTAACACCACCATTTTCTAGATATTGGGTGTGCTAACACCACCATTTTCTAGATATTGGGTGTGCTAACACCACCATTTTCTAGATATTGGGTGTGCTAACACCACCATTTTCTAGATATTGGGTGTGCTAACACCACCATTTTCTAGATATTGGGTGTGCTAACACCACCATTTTCTAGATATTGGGTGTGCTAACACCACCATTTTCTAGATATTGGGTGTGCTAACACCACCATTTCTAGATATTGGGTGTGCTAACACCACCATTTTCTAGATATTGGGTGTGCTAACACCACCATTTTCTAGATATTGGGTGTGCTAACACCACCATTTTCTAGATATTGGGTGTGCTAACACCACCATTTCTAGATATTGGGTGTGCTACCGTGGATGATATACTGTTCGACACAGAACGTAAAGCGATTGAGTTACAAGATTGTCCTTCTTCAGATGTCACTCTCATTTAGCGTCACCTTCTGTCTTTCTATTGGAATCGTCAACACGTCTCCTGGGTTAGTTATTTATGGCACCGTGGAATTTTCCTTTCTGATACATTATTGCCCATGCCAAACTTTAATATGTTATAATCACGGAACTTCCTAAAGCAATCTTGAACCAGACAAGTCTAATAATAGTAATATTAATAAAGGTATGGTAGTGATATAAGGCTTAGGAAGAATTCGTCATTTCAATACTCACCCACTACCAGTACCTATATTATGTTGTTAAACTGGTAACTAATACATACTCAATGAATTTGACTATGGTTCATTGCCCAACTATTTCAAAACGATATTCTATATATTTCTCAGAATATTCTGTCTTAGATTTAAGTGTTCATTATAACAAACAGACATTCTTGGTTTGTTCTACCTTTTATTTATAACCGCTCGCCATTATTTATCCTATAAAATGGATAATACAGTTTCAATAATGGTATACTGGGTCTACTACAAGGTCAAGGCTGCTCTTAAGAATAGGATGACACCGTAGTCCGCAACTCAGGCACTCTCACGAGCACCACATTATTATGCAATAAACCGGGTATACTATTTGCGATGCTGTACTGGGAATATTTTGGCGATAAAGTTATTATACTGACGTAAAACTTAAAAGCATTAACGACAATTATACAGGTGCACAAACATATTGTTTCTAAGAGAATAATGGAACCATTTACTTTCTCTCAACGTATACAAGGGAGAACTACCTTTAATGGCACCATTTACCAAGAAGCCTGACTACTAAGGGTAGACATTATGGTAGACATTAGGGTAGACATTAGGGTAGACATTAGGGAAGACATTAGGGTACACATTAGGGTAGACATTAGAGTAGACATTAGGGTAGACATTAGGGTAGACATTAGAGTAGACATTAGGGTAGACATTAGGGAAGACATTAGAGTAAACATTAGGGTAGACATTAGAGTAGACAATAGGTTAGACATTAGGGAAGACATTAGAGTAAACATTAGGGTATACATTAGGGAAGACATTAGAGTAAACATTAGGGTAGACATTAGGGTAAACATTAAGGTAGAAATTAGGGTAGACATTAGAGTAAACATTAGGGTAGAAATTAGGGTAGACATTATGGTCGACATTAGGGTAGACTTTAGGGTAGAAATTAGGGTAGACATTAGGGAAGACATTAGAGTAGACATTAGGGTAGACATTAGGGTAGACATTAGGGTAGACATTATAGTATACATAAAGGTAGACATTAGGGTAGACATTAGGGTAGACATTAGGAAAGAAATTAGGGTAGACATTAGTTGAGGTTTGGATATATGAAGTGGCCTGACGGTCCTAGTGCCCTACGTTGATGGGAAGTGATGGGCACTTCAAAGTCTTGGCCAGCTCATCTGCTTTTTCATAACCCCACAATCTGATGTGTGCAGCTATCCATCGGATCTCTAGATTGTTGGTGGATTCGAGTGCATTGAGGGTGTCATAACAGTCTCTAGTAGTTCTACTCCTCTTTGAGAGCGAGGATATAGCTTGTATAGAGGAGAGACTGTCAGATCATATGATGATGTGTGTGTTGGCATAAGTTGAGAGATATTCGCAATCTTCGAAGATGGCGGTGAGCTCTGTTTGATAAACAGTGCAATAATCAGGAAGCTTGAATGATCTTTCCTCTATAAATGTAGTGTTGTTGTTGTCAGTGGTGATGATATAGCCAGCCCCGCTACCTGAGTATGTGCGTGACCCGTCTGTATACTTATAGCAGGTGATCGTCTCAATGGAGATGTTGTCGATGGTGTTTTGAAGTGAATCTCTATATTCAATGTTGTCAGCTCCAGGAGTGGTGACTGTGAAATGGCGTTCAACATGTTCATAACTGTGGCATGTTGTGCGAGCTAACCTGATAACCAATGGTAGCTCTACGCACCAGCTTAATAAGCTGCTAGTTATACTACTACTAGAATTAAAGTCTAGGAATAACGTCAATGGTGAACGCCCCCGTGTCGTCCAGGAGGTTTTTAAGGGCTATTAGATGCAGAGTAACTGGTCGAAGCTGTAGCGTCTCTTTTACCACAGGCTAGTAGTAGTTAAGTTGTAAAATAACGTTGTTTTACTAATAGAAATGTGCAGTAAAAGTTTATTGACGCATTAATATGGTAATAAGTCATGTCGCTCAATTTAGCATGGTATTTAGTGTTTAACAATTTCAAAAATAAATGCATACAAAATCAAATTTTGTTACATGTTGCATGATGCATATCCCTTTTGCGCCGGCTGGGAAAGTTTGGGGCTTCATGGTCACAAAAACCTATGGATATAACTAAAGTATTATATAAGCCACGTACCTAAGAAATCACAGCGAACAGAGAGGTCAATTTTATGTTTTATTAAAAGTATTTTGTTAAAAGAAATTTAAAAGCTTGAAACGTGTGCGTGGGGGGGGGGGGGGTACACTACACTTTTTTACACCATACATAAAAAAGGCAAAAGTGTACACACACGCACGCACGCACGCACGCACGCACGCACGCACGCACGCACGCACGCACGCACGCACGCACGCACGCACACACACACACACACACACACACACACACACACACACACAAAAAACCATTAATAAAACCACTTCCGATCAGCCGATTTTAAAAAACTTAATGATTCGGCTCCTTCAGAGTTCTGTCGGCACTATATCGAAAACACCAGCCCCGTAACTCTTATTGTTTTCTTGATTAGGCCGCTCGGAAATCACACGCAAACGAACGAACACACACACAGTACACACTCACACATCTTGAGAATATTAGTATTGATATGAACGAGCCCTAGGCACATACAAATATCGTTCATGCAAAATCGATGTCATAATCTTTAGTTATTTAACTAAATATGAAAACTTAATTAACGCATTTTTCAGTTCCCAGTCAGAGTTGGTGCTTGTCTCACTGTATTGCAACCTCTGTACTGTCGCTCCAATATCCCTCATTGTCTGGAAGTTCCTGATGAGATGGCGTCGTCAGGTCAACTCTAATAGGTAACCCTCATTTTGGTAATTCATGTTAATAATGCGTACTGAAACAAAATTACTGTTAATTCTAGACTAATATTTGTTCTGTTAAAAATATTACACTGAACGAGGAAATATGTTGGTATCTGTATTTCTCTAGTACTCGTCAAGTAGTGCTGCCCTAAAAGTTAAATAAGCTCTAATTTATTTTTTTAAATAACCTAACCAGATAATTTACAATATAACAAACTTACAGTGACCGGACCCCGATCTACAGCAGAACCTGCATCTCAAGCGTGTGCCTCCTCATCATCTGCACCTACCTGCCCTCAGACTTCATCCACATGCTCCAGCTCCTCTACCGACTGCAAATACTGCCCAACCTCAAGTGGGCGGATCAGAGGTAGAAATTGTTTTTTGGTATCAGTGAAATGTTTAAATGGGACAATTTTATTGATAAATT